GCAGCACTCTGGGATGCATCCCATCAGGGCCCACGGATTTGTGGGTATCGAGGTTCCTTAGGTGCTCTCTGACCCAATCTTCCTCTACCCAGGGCAAGTCTTCCTCTCCACCGGCTTCTTCTCTTGTCCCTAGGGCCTGGGGCTCTAAAGGGCTGCCCTTGATAAACACCAAGCAAAGAAGGCATTCAGCAACTCTGCTTTTTCTGTGTTATTTGTAACCAGGGTGCCCATCTTTGTAATCAGGGTGCCCATCAAGCTGTATTAGTACTATCCAAGCAAGTTCAGCTCCTGCTGGGAAATAGGAAACGCCTTTGCTTCGTCGGGTTGCTAACAACCAAACACAGACATGAAGTTGGTCGGGAGAATACGCATGCCAGACAACACTCTTCCTAGGACTACCCTGAGGAACAAGAAAGAAGCCAGCAAGGGGTGTGAAGTTCTAAGCCATGCTACCCATCTCTAAGCATTGTTGTGGGGCTCTCTCTGTATTTCATGCAGTAGTCTACAAATAAAAGAACAAAACATGGAGGTTTTATAGTATTTACCTTCAGCCTTCTTGTTGTAGGCTATGCCTTGGGGATGAATGCTGAGTGCTTTGTCAGCCATGTTCTTAAAGTGAACTACTAAAGTATCTCCCACTTCGGCATGCAGAGTTGGTCCCAGAAGCCCTGCAGTTATTTATGATAGGGAATTGGAAAGAGCAAAATATAAGTAAAACAGTGTGTTTGGTGAAAGCAAGAGAGCTTTCCCAGCAGGGAACAGGAGCTCTTGTAAAGCACACATTGCACAAAACATAGGCAGAGAATGCAATAGCACCACCATGAAGATTTACTTGTAGAAAGGCACACGGGAATTTAACACCTACAGCTCTTAGTCAATAATGCTATAAATTGTGTGTGTTTGGCAACTAAAGCTAAAAAGAACTCTAAAACTAAAATCTCAGGAAAATGGTAGATCTGAAAACAAGGTTATTTTCCAGATGTTTATTTTTCAGAAATTTACCAAAAAGTTCATTCTGAAGCTGATTAGGAATTTCTAGGAATTCTTTACACACAATTTAAGCAGATACTTTCAGGAAGGCAGACATTTCCACATCTAAAAGTTCAGAAAGGCCTTCAGGCACATCTCTTTGAGTAGCACTCTCAGTGACAGAAGTCACAGAACAAAGAGATCTTTCAATCACAGAGCGGCATCTAAAGACATAACCAGCTCCATGTTGCATGTTACCTTAGGCATGGATTTTAAGATGGGCTTGCATCCCTACTGCCTGCCATGTGGCAAAAATAAGCACTGGAAGTAAGCTGCTAGGACAACCATGGCCCTGTTGGTGTCTTTCTTTGTAACACATTCTGTAAATTTATTCCTCTGGAAAGAAAACAGCAGTTTCAGAAAAGATGGGAGAACCTCCAGAAGTGAAAGGAATCAGATCATACACAAGACCTTTCAGGTTGACTTGTAACAGTTTGATAGCATCAACCTCATACACATTTGTTTTGAAATTTAAGTGGCTATATATCTAAAGTTATTCTATTTGTTAAGATAAAGTAGCTGCAGGGCACGAAAACTCTGCATAAGTATATAAAAATAAAAGTACCATACTTCTGGATGGCATGAGAACCTGTCTCTCTCTATCTAAAGCATCTTCAAGCAGTATCACATGGTAAACGCGAGGAAATGTCTTTGACACCCATCCTAACAGCTGTCTTTTCCTTATCACTGTTCTATCAGAAATATGTCCAAACTCAGGCCCGAGGCTCTTTCCATGTGAATTCATAGCATCATCACTGTACTGTTCCATACAATTCTAAACATGCGAGGTGAGTCTCACCAGATGCAGAAAACGAAAGCAAAAATCTCCGTATTGTGCAACTGATTTGCAGACAGCTTCGAGCACCGGCTTTACAAAAACCAACTTCTTTGTAGCCTCTGAAAGAGTTAGTGTAGATATCTCATATACTGCCTCTATCCAGGCTTGTTTGGTTTGTTATTGGCTTTAAGACAAGCATCCATCAAAAAAACATCTCAGAACATTTTCTCTCAGTTTACCTGCAAATTTATTTGCTGGCTTTTCTCTTTTAAAATCCACTTCATATTCTCTGTAAGCAATTTTCTTAAACACAGGATCTGAATGTGCCAATCTGAAACCAAAAGAGTCGTGATAAAAATTACAAGGTCAAAGTGTCTCAGAGATGCCAATCCTTTTAGGAGATATCTCAGAAAGTGAATCTGACAGAGCAGAGAGACAAACCTCGATTTTTCTTTACTCAACCCCAAGCTTGAGCTTTAAGACTCACAATGATGATTCTACAGTGGCATCAGTAGCAAGCATCTGCAGCTGCTGAGCTTTCAAGGCAAACACAAAACTTTCCTGACAACATTTAAGGCACTCTCAGCAAGACAGAAAATTGCTTTCTGGGAAGCATGGCAGTTGTCCTTAGACTTATTATGTTTCCTCGTCTCTCTTGCTCTCTCTTGCACATGTACACACACACATGCAAACTACACTATTTTGGAAATCACAAAAGCAAGCGGAAGGAAAACAGCATGCAACATGTCTGGAATGGAAGTAATAAAGGAATGGGGGCTGGAGGGAGAATGGCATGTATTTAGTTTCACATACATTGGTTATTTCCTTAGACAGAGCGCTGGAACAGGCTGCCCAGAGAGGTTGTGGAGTCTCCTTCTCTGGAGATCTTCAAACCCGCTTGGACACAGTCCTGTGCCACATGCTCTAGGTGACCCTGCGTGTGCAGGGGGGTTGGACTAGATGACCTCTAGAGGTCCCTTCCAACCTTAAGCATTCTATGATTCTATGATTTGCTATTGCTGGATCCAACAGCAAGTGCACTTGCTTTTTTTATATATATATATATATTTATTGCCTTTTCAGTTAAGCAAAGTACATATTTGAAAGTGGGAAGTGGATAGGCTGGACATGGATAGAGAGGCTCTCCTCTGTGAAGAGGCTCCTTCATAGTGACATTCGGGGTCCGTAAGGAGACGATCTCTTTCAGTAAAGTTATAAATCCTTCTGTGACACTCACACTAACCAAATCCAGCAGTAGTAGTACCTGTTTCCATTCATTCTGCTCTGACAGCACTAACAAGATTTGATTTTACTCTTAAAGAGAAAAGTGTGATATGTAATCCTGTCCTAATATGTAGATGTTCAATGCATATCAGACTATGAGGTGGAAATTTATCAATGCCAATTATAGAGCTATAGGAAACAAATACTTAAGTTATTAGCACTTCAAGAGTCTCTAGCTACACAATCAGGTCTGGTTACATAACCTTCAGTCCTGGGATTAGCAGCAGTGTATGCACAAATAATACAGTTTTACTTTGAAGTGCCTGATAAATATCACTTACACATGGTAACCAATAAACCTCTATGAAGACCAAAAGACTGAGGCTCAGAGAAGTGAAGTGACCTGCCCAAACTTCTATGATCTGCAGTAAATAAAAATGAAACACAGGAAAATTAAGAAAAATGGTTCAGGAAGAATCTGTTCCCAGCAAACTGTGGTATTCTTCAACTGTATTTAGACATTCAGCTTCTCCTGAAACCAGAGTACGTTACATACCCAAGAATCTTTGAAGATCCAGGCTATTAGATCCAGAAATTCTGGAAAGTGCATTAGATGCATTCAGGATATGGACTACTCCATATCTCACTTGTGAGATATCTCAATAGGCACTCTATGAAAAACTCCTACTTCATCACATAGTATTTCAACTGAGGTTTGAGACCAGCTATTGATTTCTGCAGCATGAAATCCATCTATCTACTATGTGATGCTTAGAGAAATAGCAGTTGATGCTTACATTGATGCATTCAGTGCAATTGAGGATGAAGATCTAAATACTAAATTCACATGCCTATGTCACTACTTAAGGGGTATTTGGTGTCCTACATTCAAATTGTATTTTCTTCTATCTCGCCACTTTGACATTATGCTCATATCACTTGTACTGATTTTGCAAAGAGGAATTTCAGAAACCATGGGAATGTCATTTTAATTAGTCTTGGAAAAGGGATATTTAGGAAATTTAGATCTGGAAACTGGAAATGTACTTCCCAATAACATCCAAAAATACAAGATCGATCCAAATGAAAAACAAAACAAAACCACAAACTAAACCCAAATACAGAAGACAAGCAACCCACCAATATAAAACTCAGTAGTATCGCCATGGGATGAGAGAATATTCACTCCCATTTCATGCCACTTCACGAACAAAAAAAGCTGTCTATGGTGACTATAGTGAACATAGCCTCAGCTATAAGCTCCCAGCCTAATTTAGACAAAATCCTAAACTGGATCAAAGTTTTGCCACGCATAGCATTGCACATGCAGTGCTTATAATACTAAGCATCATATCGGTTGTACAATAACATACTTTATATGCTTGCTTGCTTGCTGTGTGAATGTAGGCTGGCCATTCTGCACTGCAATCTAAAAAGATTTGCAATTAGTACAGTACAGCAGTGCTTGATGCGACAACCTTTGTTCAGGCAAACTCAGGAAAAATATTTCACAGAACCTTCTGAACAACTCAGAAACAGCAGCAGCTAGTTCCAAAGTTCATCAGGCTCCGAAGTGAAAGTGATGGCATCCAAATTAGAAGCTGTTTATGCAGCCAAATATCAGAATCTGAAAAGTTTCCAAAATCCTATCAAACTGAGGCTCAACTTAACACTGCTCAAAATTCATATACCTCAAAATAATGACACTGAAAAAAAAAACAAAAACCAAAAAACAAAAGGAAAAAAAAATACATAGATGATTATAAAAGCACGTCCTGGAATAGAATCAACAAAACATCTCTGAAAACAAAAATAATATTGAGAATTAATCAAGTAACTAAAAAGAAGCTTTTACTCCTTCATTGGCTGCAGTTCAGATCATGCTGTTCAAAGATACACATTTCCTTTGAAGTCAACAGATCAGGCTCTAAAGTCCTCCTGGGCTCTAACATGCCGCAGGAAACTCAAAAGAACACTTTCTGACACAAGAGAGGACAAGTTTCATCCTCCTTATCTTGAACTTTGTTACCTGGACTTTTCCTCAGATTGTGGCTTGTACGTCCAGCTAGTGATCTGGGCAGCGACATAGTGCTCCCTGATCTTCGCAGCTCCCACCACACGTTTCTCTGAATCTGGCCACCACGAACCGAGCAGCAGCAACAGCAAAAGGCGCACGCAATGGAGTGTCATGATGCAGATGCCCACTGATGTTGCTCTGGAAGACGAGGCGGAAACGGCCGCTTTTATTGCTGTTGCTGCTCCCAACTTCCCCTCTGAAATGAAATAATTATGATGCAAGACAGCCACAGTGTTCGCTATGCTCAGGTCACTGCTTTTCACCTCCTCCTCCCCTTGCTGAGAGGGATCCAATAGAGATAAAAGCTGTGTAAACTCGTTCCCTTCTCTCCCCTCCTCCGCATGATTTTCACTGAGACACAAGCATCAACAAGCAGCAGCTTCAGCCCCGCTACAAGCTGTAGTTAAGTCATCATCTATTGGAGCAGTAAGATAACTAGAGGTCAAAAGCAATTACCCAGATGCTCGGTTTACATGGTTAAGAAGCAAGGGGACACATTTTCTGTGCCTAGATACCACTTGCCCTAAGATCTAAGCCACCTGAGACAACAAAGTGATGCTGGATTACATCTGGGTACTATAGCTGTATATGGAGCTAGATTACCAGCTCAGATTTAGTTCAGGTTACCTCATGTTGTTACCTTATGACAGCAATTCAGTAACCTTTCCAAATGCAAAGTCAACTGCAGCTTTGTCCCCAAGCATCTAGAGTCTCAAATAACAGCTAATGAGCCATTCTCAGACCAACCCGAAGACTTGCCCACAGTCAGAATCCTTCCTAATTTGTCTTCATCAGGATCTGCTGAAATTTATCAACACAGAAATTAATAAAATGCCTTTTAATGAGCTAATCACAAATGTCAACCATATCAACAAAAAGATGTTCCCCTCCTTCCTGAGCAGTTTGCCAAATCAACTAGAAAATTGTTGACTTTTATCTACACTGGAATTATTGGAAAAAGAAAAAGACTTTTTTTTTTTTTTGGTAATCAGAAGGTTACAAGGTTTTCAGTAAGGGTTTGCTTACGTTTTTAAGAAAAAAAATGACCTAAAAGCCCTAATCAAAATAATTCCATTTCATATCCAGACAAAAATGAGGATGAAATTTCCTCAGACCACGTTGAAACAAAACCTAATAATTTCTGTATTTGGTACATACTTCAAGAGCAGAACAGCCTGACAGCCTGCATGGTAATTCCTTCCAAACAAGCACCATGTAGCCTTAAGAGAGACAGGGATTAGTTTTCAGAAACATGGATGAACCCTAAAAATCAAATGTTTCTTTCCACTTCTGCATAATTTAGTACCTAAATCTGAAAAGAACCATGATCATCTGGACAGCATGAGTAGAGGCACCACAAAAAGTTTCAAGGCAGCATATTGAAATCACTGTTAAAAAATCTTTGATTGTTTCTGCACGGAGCAAATCATTTGCACCCAAGAGCTCCTTCGACACAAACATGTACAAAAGGGAGTCAAAATCCACGATCTAGCGAAAAGTAGGTTGAACCACATGTGTTCAGATATTGATGCCAAAAAGTTATATAACGTCAGTCCAAAAACATTTCCATACTAATTAATTATTGTTTTGATTGAGGATCCCACCACAACCCTTAGTGCTTCAATGATTTTTAAGCAGTAAGATAGAGTATCTGCCTCATTTCTACTCTGCCCCCAATCTCATCTGTGGCTTGGAAGAATAGGTCAGTATCTCTTTCAACACTGGTCAAGAATTCAACACTAATGGGTATGACAAGTGATGTAAAAGTTCCTGTAAGTTGTATTAAAAACAAAACAACAAGGAAAGGGAAAGGAAAGGGAAGGAAAAACAGGAAAACCCTTCTGGGTGGTTGAACAATTTATTTGAGAATAATGTTCAGAACTGATGAGGTATACCACGTGCAGAAATGCCAGACACCCCATGCCAATGCTAACATATAGTCACACTTAAAGCATCTTTAAGTCAGCTTGTCCAATTCCAATTCTTAAACATCCATGTAGAAGCACCTAGAAAATATCACACATCTCTGTTAAGAGAGAAACATGTCCTGTTCCAGGCTCCACCCATTGGACAGGGCTGTTTCTAAATTCCTTCACATTCAGGGATTTGAAGACCTTTTCTTGTGTTCCTATATGATTGGCTGATAAGGCCAAACTAAAACCCCCTTGACCAAGTCATCCTTTGATTCTGTTTCATAAACTATGTGTTTGAATTTCAAATCTTTATTATAGGCAGGAGTCTGATATTTAATTATTTGCTGTAACAAAAAGCTAATATATTCTAGTCCAAGAATTAATACCTGGAATACCTGCTTAAAAGCCCTTGTTTTACAATTGGGAATCATCAAAGCTGAGATTAGTTAGTTACTTATCTTTTAACCATTTAATGATTTTCTTGTCTTTTTTCAAATTTCTTACCACACATATTGCACACATCCAATCAAATAGTAAAAGGAATGAAAATGCACAACATCCACATAATTACTTTTACAAGCTTCCTCGGTAATACTGATACTACTAGAGAAGAACAGCAAATCAGCCAGATTCTTTACCCTTCTTTAATCCTTTAAGAACAAAAAGTCTCATATCAGCTATTCCTTTATTTTCTACTGACATCCCCAGTCTCTCAGGATTGCTATAATGCTAAGAGGCCTGAAATTATCTGTGAAATTATCTGGGTCAACCTATTTAAAAAATACATATATTGTACCATATTCTCTTCCAGGCTTTGGGAAGTTCCCTGGTGTTCTGAAAATCATTATTAATAGTGCAAAGAGGAGAACCCTTCCACCTGACCATTAGTTTCTAACACTTGCAATTATATCCTCTGTCTGGCATGATGAAAGTCTTCTACAAACAGAAAACCTTTTTAGTTAGCATAGCGTTGTCTACAAGATATTGGTTAATCACACGAAATAGAAAGCACAATTCTCAGGTTGATGTCTTCCAAGACAATGAGCATTTTTGCCTATATGTATTTATATATGGAGAGAGAGAGAGAGAGAGAGAGATGATCATAACTTTTTCTGGTGTGCAAGAAAAAAGTACAGAATGAAAAAATACTGTATGTGCATCTAACTTATTTTATCCTTATTTTTTGTCCATGTTGTAAGCTTAATTTACATCAAAAGAATTTGTGGGCAAAAGCCAAGTGAGAGGCGCTCACAAATTGTCTGTGTTCTTTTCTAATGCTGACAAAACACATCATGCAGCACCATGAACAATGTAATTCCCAAAGCTAAGCATGACCTCTGGAAGGTATTGATGTTTAAATGCTAAAGGAAAAGTACATGGATAGAAACAAGAGTAGCACTTTAAAAGCAGATCCCCATCTTCTAACTTGGGAAGCTGTTTTGTCTTGTTTCTTGCTTTGCTATGTATGAAGACATACTAAAAGGGGACCATGCTGTAAAATGCTGCTCTAATGAAGATTGTTCTTTGAGCCCAACTGGTATTGCCAGTTTTATACATTGAGTAGCTTGGACCAAGCCTTGGAAACCAAGAACATACGGTTCTTTAAAATGGTGATTAAAAGGGGCGATTTGCAACTTTGTGCAGATTACAGAATAGGACCAATCACTAACTTGATCCTGCTTCATTACAAATACTTCTGCCATATTCTGATGGCTGCCCTCAGTTTTAACAACAGTACTGCAGTGATCGAGAGAGCACTAGTAGAGAGAAGAAAGGCATGGAGTAGTTACTGAATTGGCTGCTATCATGCCCAAACTCGGCTTTCTGCCCCGCTTGCCCTCTGTGTGTGCGTGCACACACACACATGCACACACACACGGATCAATACGCAACGTGCCCAGCAAGCACCCTTTGCTTAGCGCAGGACGAAAGGACTTTCATGGGCAAACAGGGAGTTAATTATTGCTCAGCAGTAAACACGTGCTGCTGAATGTAGGTAAAAGACAGCAGGGGCACTTACCAAATCTACCAGGCATAACTCAGAACAGAAGCGATCAGGTAAGTACCATCACTTCTGCAAGAATACACTCAAGCCAAGAAAGACTAACTTGTGACATGGCTCCTTTTAGAAGTTTAAAGTAGTTGTATCACATAAAAAAAAAACACACACAATGAGGGAAAAACAACAGGCGGCAGAGAAACTCCAAAGCTTTTTTTCTGGCTAACAACCTATTCGAACTACGCAGATTTTCAATTTGATGGCAGCACATGTAAGAACATATTGTGAATGTGTGGTCATACGTACCACTTCAGGACAGTAAAAACGTAGAGTAGCAGCATTTTAGACAGTTCTGATGCTAAAGACTTCAGAAGACAGAGCATTGTACTGACTGAAGCCTAAATACATTCAGGTTTTCTAAATACATTCTTCCTCAGGAGAGAAACAAGAGCCCTTGATCAGAGTGGAATGTTTCAGGGAAAGTAAAAAAAAAAATTGCAAATATTGCAAAAATTAGGTTAAATGATTTAACAAGTTTATCCAATACCACTGGCTTTTGATCTAAAAGTTTTTTTTGAGTTTAAGGAAAAAAAGAGAGAAGGCTAAGTCAACTTCCTTTCCTCAAAAACTACATTAAAAACATTTGACTCAATTTTGGGTTATCTCAAACAAGACCTCTTTTGCTTTGTCATTTTTTTGCCAAAAAAGAAATTGAATTTTGGTCCTAGTCTACATCATACTCACATTTTCTGTATCCCATTTGGACTTCTATACCAAGAGAATCTTCTGTTTGCCCAGGCTTATGAGACACGCTAAATACAGAGGTGTTGCTATGACTAACTACCCTCATAACAAGTCACTTTAACAGCAGATTCAGTGAGACCGTCTTTCTGCAGAAAATTAAAACAGTAATATCATCAGTGTCCAAAATATGCCCACAGAACGCCCTCATTGGGGCTGAGAATAGAATATGAACAAAGTGAGCCTCCTATAAATTAATTAGATATATATAAACACATATAAACACATATAACAGGTATAGTATTTCACGAATTAACTTTTTCTTCTTCCATATAGTTCTACACCTCAATGGCCTTAAAAAGAAAATGGTAGGACAATTCTTATTCAGTTACTAGCAAATAAGATTATTTTTAGATATGAGAAAAAATGAAATAAATAAGTTACAAGCCTAATAAGACATGATGTTACATTTTTCCCTAGGGAGTTTCCAACACCCAAACAAAAACCAAGGCATTTGAGTTCTTTAGCTGATCACACCATTC